GATGCGAATAAAGTGTTTTCATTGCAGTTTTGCGAAAAACACCAATTTGATATGGCCGAAAAACCACCTCATCCTAGCGCAAAAACATTTTTGACCAAATTTATTTTCGAAATTCTAATTTGCGCATTTTCATGCTCAATGGAAACGCAGCTACTGTCTTCTTGAAGAATAATCACAGCCTTAATAGTTTTCYTTTTTTTTCCATTCACCAATCTCTTGAAAAAAAAGAGTAAATATAATGACAAAGAAAACGTAATCCATCTTATTTCCCCTGTTCTTTTTTTTTTTGTTTTGTTTTGTTTTCTTGCAAATGTTAAACTAAAGAGCATGCAGGGGCTGATACCATGTCCTGAATGTTATGAGAACACATTTGTAAAACTTTCATAATGATACATTTTTTAAGTGTTTTTCTCTAAAATTAGCCCAGCCGAGAAACTTCGAGACCTTGACTCAATCTCACATCTTTGTAACAAGCTCGGAATGGCTGAGAAAAGACGAATCTTTATTGATGTGCTGCTGTCAGAACAAGATAGGTTCTGTGGTCACAAACATTTCTTACAGTCAGATTACAAACAACTGGTTTTCACAAAGAAAAACTCCTTCGTTTTGTACAGAAATGAACCAATGCAGCAGACAATACAACTATTTTAAAGTGTCCTGTATGATTTCTCAGACATACGTATTAAATGCCAATATAAATAATTTATRGTTGACAAGCTTTTATCTAACCACATCATAAAATACTAATGCTACAGACACATGCCAGATTTTTTTTCCACCCCAGATATTAATATGCCGGGGCTATCTGTCACCCTCACAAATTATAGCCTGCATTGAGCTGTAAAGACCATGGGCCTAAAGGCACTTAACTAGCCACCAATGACAACTTAACTGTCAGAAGGGCAAAGCCTTTGAATAAAACTGCAGCTCACTGGTTTTAGCAGCATTTGTTGTGTGCAAAGCTGCTTGCATTGAAGCAACGTCCCTTTGCATCTGCTTTTAAGACATGTTTTACAACCAAACGGGGGGTAATTTTGGCCAATCAAAAGATGCAAAGCAGAAGCAACTGTCCAGTAAATAAGAAGGCACATGTAGGATTTGAATGTATAAGGGGAATGAAAACAGGACTACAAATGGTTTGCACAAAGAAAAGTGAAGGAAACAGCATTTAGCTTAAAAAAAATCAACAACAAAGCACTGTCCATAAATCTGTCTGTAGTGTCTGAAATGTTGCCCTCAGCCGAAATACATCGGGATGCAAAACCCAACAGATAACGCTGAGTAAAGCCCCGCATTCAACGAAGCAGAAATAAGAGCTTGCTTTATCTGTACACCTGCTTTGTTTAAACAAGGTTCAGTCAATGCATCCAATTAAACTCACTTTCTTTATTAGATATTTCACCAGATTTTAAACACGATTTAGTTAAAACTGGATTTATATTTAAAGACATAGCATTCCTTAAAGCAATACATACCGCCCTCAGTTTTTAGGACAGTTTTAAACCAAGATCGACRTATGATAATAAGCTGGAGATGTGGCGGTTTTGGTCGAAACTTGAAAATAACGTTAGACACAATTCCATGTAGGGATGCACCAATATGAAAAATTCAGCTGATATCGATATAGAATACTATTATTGGTGTTATGGCCGATAACCAATATTACACAAACAAAATTATATATACATATACGCACAAACACGCTTTATTGAAACCGTAAAAAATGACCAGACCTATCATGATCAAACAGATATCACTCGATCAATTGAAACACATTGGTAACAATTAGGAAATCAATATTGGATGGTAATATTGGGCCAATACCAATATTGTAAACAAAAAGACCAATATTGGCCAATACTGATGTGTCAATTGAAACACATTGGTAACAATTAGGAAATCAATATTGGATGGTAATATTGGGCCAATACCAATATTGTAAAAAAAAAAAAGACCAATATTGGCCAATACTGATGTTACTGCCGATACATCATGCATCCCTAATTCCATGCAATAACGCAGGAGCTGTGAATGACTCTCAGCTACTATCACATCCAATTTTAGTGCAGTATTGGTTAGCAATTAATTACGGCATTAAATCAATTTTGTGCAAGCTGAGATCAAACAGGCTGTGGCGGCCATCTTGAAATGGATTAACTCCGAAAACGTTTACCATTTGTGTTGAGGTGTACCTAAAAATACCAATTGGTTTTATTTAAATCCATCCTTCATGAGATATTTTGCTTAAAAAAGGTCAGTTCCCAACACTTAATGCTTACGTTTTAGGCAAAAAATCTCAAAATAAATAGTTCTTGGGGTATCTGTTGTCAATAACGCTCAGTTACTACCACTCTACAACTGCAAATACAACTGAGTTATAGATATTTTTGTGTTTTGCCAATATTTAACAAACAAACAGTGTTGACCTGAGTTTTGACAATTGATTAAACACAGCTCTTTGCATGTTAGAGCTCAGGACATGTGCTGGGGATCAGGCTCAGCTACCACCGAACCATACTCACGCAGGCAGCATCAGTAMGGTCATTCTGCTGCAGAAGTTGCACACATTGCAAAATGTTACGATAAGAAACAATACGATAAGTAGCAAATCTGAATGTATTGCAATACTTTTTTTTTTTTTAGTCAAAGGAAGGAGCCACTTTTCAGGGGGTCTGATGAGCCACATGTAGTTTGCAGACTCCTAACTGCAGAGACCCCCACGATGGTCGCAGCTCTTGTTCCGTTAAGCAGCCTCGATGATCAGAGCAGATAAGAGGCTTAACCGGGATGTTAACGTGAACGAGCTGCGCCGAAACAGTTTCTACACTGAAACGGAGTTGTAAACTGTTACAGACCAAGGAGTGGTCAGCGACAAAAAAAAAATGTTATTGTGTTGCTGAAGGCTAGAAATAAGCGCTCGTGGGTGTTGTTTGAAAAGTAGCCAAATGTAATGAACCTCCTCTACTGACCTGTTGCGTCCTTTCAGCCGGGTTCATCATCACAGCCTGCCGAAAGCGGTTATCCACATAAGACGCCATTGTTTTAGAAGACGGCGTCTGGGAGGTACGCGGGTCCTTATCCTTAAAAATGTTTAAAGAAATCCGGGCAGGGGACGCTTGGTTTTCAAAATATAGCCCCCCTGGCGTCCTTCTCTTCTCTTCTCGGCTGAGCTCCGGAGCTTGTGGATGAAGCTGGGAGTGCCCGGCGGAGCCAGGCCACGACTGGAGCCAGACAGCCGACCAGTCCCTTCTCGGAGTGTCTCTCTGTCTGGTGTCCAGCCCGAAACCGCCTCCCGAAACCAGCCCTCCCACCGCCAATGAATTTAGAAAAAAAACTTACTTTAAAAGCGTGACTCGGGTTGTATTTCTGAGTTGTTTCCTACGCGTAAAAAACAATTGTCTCTTTAAACAAGCCAGCGCTAAGTAAAAACCGTTCCTTGTCTCCTCAGCATTCTGGCTAGCGACGGGAGGAAATTCCATAAGAATCCGGTAAACAAAAAAAAAGTAAGCTAACGGCTAAAGCTATCCCGTCAACAACAACCCTGCGTCCATTTTAAAAGAGATTCTCTCTCAGCGTCACTTAGGAAACTCATTATATTAATGTTTTTATGAAGCTAAGAGTGAGTATCACTCGCAACGGTTGCTGTGTTCTGTTGTATGCCACCACCATGGTGACTGACACCGTAATCAAGTCCGGAAGAGTGGACAAGAGCACTTCCGGTTTACGTTTTCAAAATAAAACAAAGCGCGTTCATGGAAGTGACATTACGTAACGCGTATAAACACGACCGTTTTCTAAAAACATCATTCCAAATTATCATCAGATATTAATGAAACAAACAGTAACGAAGGCATTTTCAATAACCAGTTGGTTTGTTCATATCCGACTTAGTTTTCTGCCTCGTCGTTTTATTTTGAAGGCAAGACATTTGCACTTCCTGTAAGCGGCTCGTGGTTTATTTTTTGACTTGACAAATATGTGGTCACGAGAGGAGGCTTTCTAATGGGCGAGTCCATTTCACAAAGAACAGAATTAGGACTATTGCGTGGCAAATGTGATGCTTTAGCTCCACCAAGTGACTTGATAGAGAAATACAAGAAAACAAATAAAACTAAAACCGACGTAAAACATCCCTACATGCATTTGTGCCTTATAACCTTGCCATAAAGATATGTCATAAAATATTGTGCATAATTCATAAAGTTTATAAATAACTGATGATTTCAGATCTATCAATCCATCCATCCATCCATCCATCCATCCATCCATCCATCCATCCATCCATCC